TAAAAGACCAATCAAGAGAAATGTCTATATCACCATCATCAAATATGCCTAATAGTTGAGGAGCAACTGTTTTCTATAAAAATGATAAGAATGATTACAATGCAAACAGTCTAATAAAAATAAATAGAAAAAGAATATGTTGCTTTTTCTTCGTAGCACGAGATTTTATTTTGTTACAGGATACTTTTTCAGATATCAACTTAACTTTTTCTAGTAACAATAGTTTCTTATCATACCTTAGTTGTTGCTCAAAATATTAGTAGATCCCAAAACTAGATGAAAGATATTTAACAATATGTTTGCTTCTAATACATAGACGTATACTACTTCTATAATTGAAAAAGAGGTGTGCTTCATAGAAACATATCTACCGTCTTTAGGTAAAATATGGGATGTAGGAGGAACTGATACTTTGTATGGTTCAGCAGAAATGTTTATTATATCATCTATTCAGTGGACTCAAAGTGTGAATACAATGACAAATGATAGATACTATCATATAGCCACGTTAATTCCAGCCACTGAACAACTATTAACTGTAGGTAGTTATGAGAATCCAGAGAAAGCTTACCTGTTCAATCGAACGAACAATTCTTTTACAATAGCTGCAAGCCTAATACAAAGACCAAGATCTCCCAGTGCAATCTTACTATCACCAGGCTTAATACTTGTCGCTGATGGATCTTTCAACGATAATATACTTTATCGTTCAGCTGAGATATATGATTGTCGACTGAACAAATGGTATTCTGTAGTGAGCATGGCTGTTGCATGTTTTTTCAAATACAGCAATTTTGCTGAATAATTTAACTTCACAGCCACCAGTTGTGTTTGTCGTCGGATGGAAGATGGAAAACAATGTACCTACATATAATTGTAAATTATTCTACGTGAATGGTTAACAAAAGACGTTTGTTGACTGTCTATACAGTTAAAGACATGATTTTCAATATTTCTCACTTCTATCCAACAATAGCTTTTTCATGTAAACGCTCATTATCACATATTAAAGTTTAAAAAAAATTATTTCTTTTATCTTTATAGCAATACTGTTATTTTTCGAAACTCTATTCCAGTTTTTAAGCAAATATTTCTATCATTGATTATTACAAAAATAATACATATAGGGCTATATCATCAAAACGAATATGTATACAAATTATATATTCAATGAAACTCAACAAACATGTCGCTAGTATATTTTCGAAAAGATTCTCATGTAAATACAACAACTGATTTTCAATTATAAGCTACCGACTGACGCTGAGCAGTTTTTGTTCTGTTGTCAACATGAATTGCTTTTAACAGTGTCGAAAGTTCTGTAATGTTCTCATAGGTTGCTTAAAATTGAAAGCGAATATTATTTATTGTGATTAAGAAAACAAAACAATATTACGTATTATTTAGTCAATTTCAAACAATGCTAACTAAATATTTATTGAGGGTGTGGGTGTGGGTGGGTGTGGACGTGGGTGTGGGTGGGTGTGGATGTGGGTGTGGGTGTGGGTGTGGGTGTGGGTGGGTGTGGGGTGTCGGTGTGGGTGTGGGTGGGGTGTGGGTGTGGGTGTGAGTGTGGGTTTTAGGTATTCTATTGTTTCATACGCATACTCACACCCACACCCACACCCATCTGGTGAATCACGTGGTGGTATGTATCCTATTCAACCTTTACCTCCTCTTGTTGATGTCCCTTATGGTGGTGGACCAGGTTTAGGTACTCGCTATGCCATTCTGGCATTGTTCACTTCGACACGTGTAAGTTATGGTTTTTCTTTTTCTTGTCATTTAATTTAGTTTTTTTTTAAATTTTCTTTCATAGGTAGCGTTACTTAATGAACTCGTTGAAGCTATAATTGGACAACGCGGTACAAAAATTCAACAAATACGTCAAATAACAAATGCAAATAAAATTATTGATGATCAAGCAATTCCTAGTGGTAATGGTGGTGGTGATAGAATAATAATAATTGAGGGAACACCAGAACACATTAGTCGTGCACAAGCACTTCGTCAACAAGCTGTTTGTCAATATGGTCTTTGGCGACCATAATTTTCTTATTTTGTTTCTTTTCTTCTTTTTTTTAGCGGTCGATAGTGCGACATTACACTCATTTACGTTTACATGTGTACTATGTTTTTAACTTACATTGCTTTATTTTCTTTTTATTTAAGTCCGTATTGCTTCTTTTTTTTTTGTTTTATTCATTCATGTAAACAGTAGGATGATGATGATGATGATTGATCGACATGTTATTTATCTTATATGCTTTTTTCGTCCCTTTCTTTCGTTTTTATATAGAATTTCATTCAGATCTGTTTATTTCTACACTGATAATAACACAAAGGATATGATAGATTTACATTTAGAAAATCATAATGGATTACATTTAATATTATTTAATAACTAGTATCGAAATTATGAATACTCGAGTATCATCATCTATTATATACTTATATTTTGCATACAATATATGACAAGATTTAAAAATTGTTCTGTATTTTGTTAATATTATATGTTGTCTGTATTCATTGAAGACTTGTTGTCGGATTTATTAATATTTACTTTGTTGTTTTTTTTTGTTCTTTTTGAAACATTCAATCATGTTCATTTATTATCTATATGATAAACTACTAAGTCTTATTCATGAAGAAATTTGTTAAGTTATGAATATTAAGAATGCAACAAGAACAATCATTTATAGGTTCACCGATCTAAACCAATAGTCTTTTTGTCGGTAACTGGTATTCTTAAGGTTTTTCTTCATCCAATAAAATATTAGAGAATATCATGGTTATGCGTAGGAACAATTGAGTTTTGAATTTCGACTCGAAATTTTGCATAGAGACATTATTGTTGTATATGAGCGATGTTAAACACACATACTTTTACTATAGTTTTATTTTAAGATCGAAGCAATCAAAAGATCTGAATTCTTTTCTACAATAAATCATTCTCATAAAACATAATTGTATCTCGATAGTACTATGGCTTGTCCAAACATAACGAGGATTACTCTTTATTAATTATCTGAGAATATTTAAGAGTTAGAAAGTTTGTTCAAACGCTATTCGATACAACTTATTATACTCTATTTATGCTATAAGAATGACCTGTTTTTCAATCACTGAACAAACTAAGAAATATTTGACTTTTATCAATATTGATCTTTTCTACATGCATAATGGTTCTACACAAGATAAATCGGCTATTTTATAGTGAATTAAATTTTACGTCGAATGATATGTCATTCAACATTTAAAAAAAAATTCCACTTAATAATATACATTGATCTGTTCAGGCATAGTCTTGACTCACAAGCAATTTGCTACTATAGGAAATATTCCATTGTCAGATAAGATAAGAGCTATGTCGAAATCCGATTGGCTAGGAAAACAAAAGGAGGAAAATATTATTCGAGTCTAATTGGGTAGAAAAATACCGGTGAGTATCAGTTATGAATATCGATTTATATCAGGTACTCGATGATTTGTTATCGCCAATAGAAATGTAATTAGGAAATGTTTTTAATTAAGAATAGTGTTTTTGATTCAAGTCATTTGAATTCAGATGATAACGTAAAATCAAAAAAAGAAAAAAATTTATTTCTATACATTGTCATCATTATACATTGGTAGTACAATATTTAAATAAGAAAAATTTCATTTTAACTCAAAATATTCGAATTCTATCATTAAAGTTTTTTTGTTTTGTTTCAAACACTTTGTAAGAAGTAAAATATACAATCATTGTAATAAAGGAAAATATTGTAGAACAACAATGTCAATTAGACTCATAAAGTATAGTTCAAAAGAAGAAAAACAAAATATCAACTATGTTTACATTAATGTTGTTTTCTTCTATTATGTTGAATAGAGGTGATTTATGTAACCTATGTCAATCATAAAAGTAACTTAACATCAATATGTTACCTTGAAGATATGATTCAAGTAAATATACATAGTCTTTGTAATGCACGCTCGAATGAATTTTATTTTATCAAGAATATATTTATTTGTTAAGTGTAGTGTGTTATATTACAGTCTATTATTACATTCATTGTCATAAAAAAAAAGAAAAATTCATTTATTTTCGTTTTTTTTTTAACATTGTATTCAATTCGTGATTGTATTGACCCCATAAAATAATATTGTATCAATTATTTCAATTATTATTCTTATTAGAAATTTTTATTATTCATTCATTTGAATGGGATATTTTATTGAATTTAGACGATGATGATAAACTTTTATGTTATTCATATAAAGGTAATGAATGTGAACAAATAACAAATAATGATGATGATAATAATAAAATTCTTTGCAATAAACGAACACAATTATGTTGGGTAAATATTATTATCGATATAATAAACAAATTTTTGTATAGATTTTTTTTTTCAAAAATTTTTTAAAGTCTGCTTTTATGAATCATCAATCTTATAGAACATGGTGCTAATCGTCACTGTACACCAAGTGACTTTTCATTGAATAGTCACGTTACTATTGAAACATGTTGTCGTTCAGATTTATGTAATTCAATTTTACATAAGGAAAAATATATATAAATTATTATGTTTTATTATTCTATTTATTTTCTTAATTAGTCCCTTCGCCAATATCAGGCATATCACATAAGCAAAATCTCACCATTGGCTGTTACTGAAACATCTTCTATTACAAAAACACCACTAACAACCAGTACATATATATATATAGAAACATGCACTAACAACGGCAGGTCATGCTGTTGATACAATAGTTCGTGAAAAATCACCTGTATCAACTGAGAAAAATTTATATATTGACGAAGAGGAAGATGAAAATGTATCTCAATTAAAACTAAATACAAGTGATCCGAATAGTTTTGGTGTTAATTGGGATGGTATATTATATCATCAAAGTTTTAGTAATCGTGTAACATCAATAAGCAATATTTTTCTTTTTTTAATGCCACTTTTATTAGTTATAATTTTTTAACTAAATTTCTTTTTTCTTTAATATTTAAACTTGCTTTATTTAAATCAAATTTTAATTTATTCAAT